ATTCTGGATGTAAAAGAAACCTCCAGGAGACAATTTTCAAAGCTGCTGCCAAGTTGCAGAGATGACGGGAATGGAGTGGCTAGAAAGTTGCTCTGGCAGGAGTCTTGAAGTCAGGCTGGTAAAAAGTAGAAACTGCAGTGAAATGGAAGCAGGGCTGATGGTGCTGCTGCCTGGGCAAAAGTACTTAATGGGGAACCTAAGAAGCACTTGAGGGAAAGAAAGATGGATGGAGAAGTCCTCAAAGGGCAGGCAGCAGAGCTTCACCGTGGATTCTCAGTGATGACGTGGTAAGGAGCATGCAACATGGTGAGGGTTTGGATTAGAACATACCAGAAACAAAGAAAAGAAAACATTCCTGAAACACTGCTTGTGCCCATACTGGGGCTTGAACTCAGGGCCTCGATGCTGTCTCTTAGCTTTTTCCCCTCAAAGTTGCTGCTCTACCACTTGAGTCACAGCTTTACTTCTGGCTTTTTGGGTGGTTAATTAGCGGCAAGAGTCTTGTGGACTTGCCTGCTGGCTTCAAACTGTGACCCTCAGATCTCAGCCTTCAGAGTAGCTAGGATTCCAGGTTTGAGCCGTGGGTATCTGGCTTGGACTTTGTTTTCCAATCACACTCATACCTCTGTGCGAATCCTCTTGCACAGTGTATGTAGAAGTATCTGTACTGTGCAAGGACTGTGTCTTAGGAGTAGTAAAAACTCAATGTTTGCCCCTTGTTGGAGATGAGACATTATTATTATTAAATAGCTATCCAAAAACCACAAATCAGTGAAATTAAAATGTGTACAAATTGAAAGGTTCTCTTGCCAAAGCTCATGCCTGTAATTCTAGCTACTCAGGAGGCTGAGATCTGGAAAATCAAGGTTTGAGGCCAGCCCAGGCAATGCTCCCGTAGTAGAGTTAGTAGAGTACCTGTGTAGCAAACATGAGGATGTAAATTCAAAACCCAGCACCCACCCCCTCAAAAAAGACAAAAAGAAAAAAAGGGGGGGGGAGAGAAAGCTTCTCTGTTCTAACCACTGAAATCACATGCAAATCAAGATCAAAATACACTTGGTATGGTGCATGGCTTTATTCCTCAGCTTAGGTGTTGAACTACAGGCAATAAAACAGCACAGTTGTACAGTGTAATAATAAACATTACTAGCAGGGCCTAGAATTAAACCAAACTCCTCCCATATATCTTACTCTAGTTTATTAGGTAGTGATTATTGCCATTCCCGTTTTACAGGAGAGAGATCGTGTCCAGAGAAGTTAAGAAACTTGCACTTGGTCAACCAGGTACCAACTGGTGGTACAGGATTCAAATCCACACAAGTTGACCCTGCTCCCTGACTCCCTTCCCCTCTTACTTCCCCTGGGGCTTAACTGCGTGCGCCCACAGCTCTGTGGCCCAAAGGTCACAGCCCGGTTCTCGGGGAGCATCCACTTTTGTGGCTGGGGGCCGGCGGTGTTCTTTCCCACCCAGGGATGACCGCACATCCGCTGTGTGGAGCCAGCGCCAAGGGAGAGATGCGCGCGGGAGGAAACGAGGCATCCCAGGGCAACAGAGTCGCGGTGACCATCCTCCCCGCTCCGCAGTTTACTAAAAGCCTGGCTTTATTTGGAAACTTAAAATAATCGCGCTCGCGGCACGCACACATGCACACGCACATATGCACGCACATGCACACGCACATATACACGCACACATGTACACGCCCGGGCACGCGCGCACACACATACATGCACTCACGCGGGGCGCCCCTCCCGCGTCCCGGAGCAGCTGTCCGCGCCTCCCCGGAGCCCCGCCGCCCGCATTCCAACTCTCTGAGGTCACGGGCCGCCGCCGCC